ATGTTTCACCCTCGCTTAGTGGATACAGGCTCATTGGGACCTAATTATGGCTATGACTGTATTTTTGTCACGGTATAACATTTTGCAAACACAGTCGTTTCAAGTTACACCCTGCAATGCAAAAGATTGATTTGTAAACATTACACACCATGCACAAATATATCATATATAACAGACACCAAAATATACTAATTACATGCACGTGTGTGTGCATGTATGTGTAAAATTATGTAAATTTGGATATATAAAGTTTTGTATAAAATTCGTTTTTCAAGCCTACCCACTTATATTGAAACTTTTTCTGTCAGTTAAGTTGACTCTGTACTTGCCCTCCTCACTTCTGAAGTATCCATCTTCTGAGGATTGAAATGTGTTTATAGGGTTAGAATTATACAAGGCAACTCTTAAATTTATATTAATATTTTAAGAAGTAAACGTGAAATTAAAAACAAGAAAGAATCGTTATTTGAACACAAATTGGTCCAGCTATATTTTTTAAATTGAAGAAAATGCTCCATACACATGTTGTTCATTTAAAGACTATTATTCTGGCCTGATTTATCTTAAGTTGTTTCATCTTCCGTTAGTATTATTATTATTAAGTATTATTCTACCTAAAGTAATAACGTGTAAAGTTATATTTGCTCAAGTAAAGGGTGAACAACTTAATTACATTTCTTTTCTTATTTTTGATTTCATATTTAAGCTTTGAATTTTTGGCATATATTTAAAAGTATCATATCCTTGTTGACTGTATTCATTTTTGATGCTTCATCTTTTTGTCCTTTGTATCAAATGATATGTCCTAAACTAACATTGCAATTGTGCAGTTGACAATTTTGCTAAGCACAATATTATCGTAATTAATTGCATGTTGAGTGGTGATGTTAATTTAATAAGTGTTATTCTTATTATGCTTAAAATGAATACAAACGAGTATCCAGATTATTCGAATTGAATGCTTAGAGCAACTAAATAACGAATCATGATACCCTTATATGGTGAGTTAAAAGTTTTATTCTAATTCAGTGAGAGAATTCGTAATGAATTGGTGAGATATTTTCTAATAAAATAAGTCTATTTTTAAACTAAATTAAATTTATTTAAATTAATAGCATACGTACCTGTCATTTTATTTTTATATAATATTTACAGATTTTACGAACTATAAGAAATAATGAAAAACCATTAACGTTGTTACTTTTAGGAAGAAGAGTCTTCTCTTCTTTTAAACATGACCTTATGAGATGAAAACAGTGGTTCAAATTACATTTAAAAGTTTTACGTCATATTTACTTCGTATTTCGTATTTTGTCATAATTTTTTGACAAAGCAAACGACCTATATTAATATAACATTTGTTTCTTATTTATACCAATAATACGCAGTGACATAATTTGATTCAAAAAAACTGGTGCATCCTGTATTTTTGTATAACGTCAGCCCGATAGGAAGTTTGCTACAAAGTTTCGTACAGTTTTCTAGACATTTGCAATGATGCGATGCGA